AAAGACAAACGGTACATGGTCTCCCTGATAAGTGGATGCTAAATCCAAAAGGTTAGGTGATACGACAAAACTAACAGGACTTAAGAAACAAAGAACTCCTGCTCATCTGGTTGAACCACTACTAAATATCCCCATGCTGCTGATCACAAATATGGTATATAACATGTGAACACTGTTATATATTACAGACTGTGATAGACAATTTGCTCCAGGAAAGTTAGAATGAACTTGTGACTTTGAAATTATGTAATCACTTAATCACAATCAAAAAAAAAAAAAAGAACCTCGGGGAAGGGAGGGAGGAAGGGGATGGTAGGGGGAAAACAATGGAGGGGGTAACAATGTTCAAGAGCAAGTGTACTCATTACCTCACTCATGTAACTGTAACCCTCTGTATAGTATCTTTACAATAAAAAAAAAAGAAAAAAAATTAGAGTAGGTATATGGTAACATGGAAAAAGTAAAGCCATCCAAAAAATGGAATCAGGCAGGAGTTTAGTCTATTTTTTCCACGGTGGAAGTGGTAAGGTTAACAATGTAGATTTCCTCCAGGTGACTGTCAGGCTGTAGCAGCAGCAGCAGCAGGGTCTCTCAGTGAATCCAAGGGACTGTCAGACCGTGTGCTGGGCTGTAAATTTCTACAGCCTGGTTAAGGATACAAGTAATACATAGGCTTGGCAGGCTGTGGCCCCACTAGTTTTTAAGGCTATTTTGACAATAGCCCAATACAATCAACCAAGATGACAACCTTTTTAACTAGATAGTTCTTTTAATAGGGCTGATTTTCTAGGCAGAAATAGAGGGCTTAGGCCTTTACTACTATTTTCCATGACTTTTGCTTCTGTCTACTTTGCCACAATTTTTTTTTTATTTTATGAATCTGATCCCTTGTTCTCAAAAGGGGATTTAAACCATCCCCCACATTTTATAACTTTAGCTTTTTAGTACTATCACATGCAGGTGCTCAGTGGCATTCTCATCGGGCTGCAAGTCCTCCCTGGCAGCCCTTTATTGTTATTGTTAGATCCTCCACGTTTTTCACCCCACACTACCACCCCTCCTTCTAGATCCAGAGAGGGTGGAGGAAGAGTCAATGAAGGGTAGAAAAGAGGGGTCAGATTAAAGTGTAAGTAAAAAAGGAGCTAGAGAGAAACAGATATTAAAAGGGGCTTTTAGCCAGTCTCCTCTGGGCTCTCGCATCAGGATGAATCTGAGAGAAGAAACATTCCAAGAATTCCAGAATACATACACATGAACATTGAGACAAAAAAAACATTTAAGCATGTGCGTTGTAGACTGTCACACAGAAAGTGCCAGACTACTGACGGGCCCAAATGTCCCCACTAGTGGATAGTTTACCCTGATGGGGACCTGGGGGACATCTCCCATCAGCCCAGTCACCTGTCTTATAGCTTTTCCGCCAAGACCTCTTGCCAACCCCAATACAGAACATGCAGGCTACACAGATACCAGACAATTACAAAGCAGCAATGTTTTAACTTAGAGGCCATTTGCATCATAGTGTCCTTGAATCCTTTTTTCCATTTTTTTTGCTAAGTTTTTAAACTAATAGTTCCTTCCTCCTGGAACCAGGGGCATACTTCCTCAACAAAGTGAAAGAAACATTTTAACTGACTCTATCTAACTTTCACTCCTTGAGCATGAAGCATACCCTTGAGAGCCTGCACATGCAGCATGCTGCTGTTATCTTGCCCCATGGTTTCTTACTCCCGACTATACATACTCTCTACCTCTCCTTATTTTATGTTTCTGGATGTCCTCTTACCTTAGCTGGGTCCTCTGCCTTGATCCCACGTTTTCAGGTCCCTGTTCAGATGCCACTTACCAGAGCCTGCCGGCAATGAAAGGGAATCCTGAATTAGGGGGTGAGGATGCAGAAAAATAAAGACATAAGACAAAGGATGGGGTCTGGAGGTCTACAGCTCAAGACTGCAGAAACATTTATTTTTAACTTTCCCTAACATATACTATTAGCAGTCAAGAGGTAACATAAGGTTACTTTAGTCCAGAAAAACAAGGAAAATTTCAGTAAAAACAGAATGCAGTAAAAACAATACAAGGTCAACTGCTAGAAAATACAACAAATTCTACAGATATAGCAAAGCAATCACAAGCACCTGGTGTTTTGTACGTGCCTTCAAGTGAGCACCGGGGTCAAGATAACCTTTAAACATTGCTGTCAGCTCCCAACAAGTGACACTGGACATGGTGGTGTGGAGCAAAGTTGGCCAGGTTGAGAGCAGTGGAGTCACAGGCCCAACTGTGGATGAATGCATAAAGAAGATGTAGCCTATTTCCATCATAAATTACGACTAATCCAGGAACAAGAAGGAAATCCTGTCATTTGCTACACATCTATAGAACTACAGATCGCTGTGGAAAATGCAAGAAGTCAGACACAGAAAGGCAAATGCATGTTCTTGAAACAGACAAGAACAGGGCAAGGAATTGTCAACAAGACAGGAAGGGTCCAGGTGAGGAATGGAGTCACATGCAATGAGGTAGACCAGAAACCCAGGGTAAGGAGTCACTACTGATCCTCTCCTGAGCATAGTGACAAATTCCTGCTTCAAAATCACCACTGATAATGATGAAAATGAGTATGGACTTAGAGATTGAAGTTAACTCCTCATTAACCACCAGGCATGAAAAGAGACCCCTTCTCACCCTGCTTTCAGGAATATGCATGAAATGCTTACCTCTAATCTCCAAATGAGGTCTCTAGAAATGAAAATATTTTTTAAAAACATGGCCATTATTGCCAAAGAAATTTCTGCACAGAAATGTCTCATTCTATTTCTTTCTTTCTTTCTTTCTTTCGTGCCAGTCCAAGGGTTTGAACTCTGGGCCTGGATGCTGTTGCTGAGCTCTTTTATTCCAGACTGGCACTCTACCACCAGAGAGTGGAGATAAGAATTGGAGATAAGAATCTCATGGGCTTTCTTCACCAGGCTGGCGTTGAACCTTGATTCTCTGATATCAGGCCCCTGAGATTGCATCAGTACAAGGTTCCATTTTTCTTTTCTAACAGCATATACGATGAGAAAACATCATATATGAGACTGAGATGATGAGGACTGGGAAGGTGGCTCAGTGGTAGAGTGCTTGCCTAGCATGCATGAAGCCCTGGGTTCAATTCCTCAGCAGCACATACATAGAAAAAGCAAGAAATGGTGCTGTGATGCTAATGGTAGAGTGCTAGTCTTGAGCAAAAGCAGCTCAGGAACAGTGCCCAAGCCCTGAGTTAAAGTCTCAGAACTGGAAAAAAAGGAAAGGGACACTTTGGGTAAGAAATTTTGGGGATAAATGGCTTACACTCCGCTGAGGTTGTTTACAGACAGTCATCTCAAGTTGGGCCTCAGTGTCTCCTGCTGGCCTACTGGGATCCAGGAGAGATAAGCGACTGCACCACTCCCTTGCCCCCCGGAGAATCACCTACGAGAAAATGAAAAATGTCTAGATAATTGTCACATGGGGGAAAAGAAAAAGTTTACTGAGAACTTGGCTTGCCACACCTGGTGAAGGGAACATCACCGCTCCCGAGGGAGACTACCTCAGCTGCCGCCCTCCTCCACCCCTATCTAAGGAGCCCTCTGAAGATCTGAAGTTCCCTTGTGCATCTCAGAATGGGCCGCCCTGCCACGCACATCCTCACAGAAGAGGCGAGCACTTGGGTTCATTGCAACTGGAGAGGCGCAGCCTGCAGGAGAGACCCCAGGTTCCACACTCTGGATAAGGGATTACCTTAGGACAGCAGGGATTTGGGATTGAATCCGGTTGCATGACAAAGAAACAGGGAAAGATAGGAATGGGCTAGGACAGTGAAGAGAACTGGGGTTCTAGGTTCCCCAGCCCCAAGCCCTGTTGGTTCTTAACTTCCTCTCTCTCACAGAGTCTGTCCTGGTTTATGACAAGTGATGAGGAATCCTGATTGTCCGGGGTTGGGGACCATGTGTTCACATCAGCAACTCTAGAATGGCATTTGAACCTAAAATTTCCCCTCTTGGTCTCTGTCATCCACCTCCTCTTTCACCCGCACCATCCCCACCACAGACCTGGTTCATCTTCCTGGTCTTTCTCCTATGAAATGTAGGCTCTGTGTTGAGGAAAGTGTGAAACCTGGGACCCACTCCTGCAGCCAGCCTATTGATGTATAAGTGCATGTCACTCGGGGAATGTGTCACGCATGTTTCTAATTTTTTTTTTTTTAGTCAGTCAGAGAGCTTGAACTTGGGGCTTGCCCATGTTCCTTCAGCCATTTTTGCTCAAGGCTAGGCCTCTAGCACTTTGAACCACAGGTGTACTTCTGGTTTGCTGGTGCTTAACTGAAGAGAAGAGTCTCATAGGCTTTCTTTCTCTGGGCTGACTTTGTATTGGGAATCCAAGGTCTCAGCCCCTGAGTAGCTAGGATTACAGGCTCGAGCCACTAGGGCCTCACTTGTTTAGAATCTTAGATCTGATTCTACAGAGGAGAAATGTAGCCACCTTCATCTCAGAACCTGACTCACCTTCCCTTACTGCCATTTCTCCAGGTTCACCCATTTCCCTGAACATGCCACCTTCCTCTTCCCGATGGATGGAATAGAATGGATTTTTCCTAATACATGAGAGACAGTAGGACAGTATTTCTAGTGGTCTGAATGCTGGATGGAGAATGTTGAGTTCCCTTGCCACTGTACATGCCTCAGATTCCCAAGCCAGAACCTCTGGATGAGACTCAAGGAACAGATAGGATGGCAGATGCCCATGTGTCTATGGGAGTGATCCTCTTAGCCCAGATTGTGGTTGGGTTTGTGGGTAATTTGTATCTTTTCTCCCATTATTTATTCCTTTCCTGCATGGGGAACAGGATGAGAGCTACAGACTTGATTCTTAGGCACTTAATTGTGGGCAACTTCCTAAGTCTTCTGTGTAGGGGTGTTCCCCAAACCATGGTAGCTTGGGGCTGGAGAAATTTGTTCAATGATGTGGAGTGCAAAATGATCTTCTATCTGTACCGCGTAGGCAGGGGGGTGTCCATTGGTAGCACTTGCTCCCTGAGCATCTTCCTTGCTGTCAGCATCAGCCAGGGGGACTCCAAATGGGCAGGGCTGAAGGGGAGAGCCCACAAGCACATTGTCTCCACCGTCTACTTTAGCTGGGGGGTCTTCCTCCTGGTGAGCATTGTTTTTCTCATGTTCATGACCGGACCCAAAGCACACAACAACATCACGAGCTTAATGGCCTATGGATACTGTTCCTCCGTGCGTCATGACCCAGCTACTGATGTGCTGTACTTGGCCATGCTCTCGGTGCCTGATGCTCTGTGTCTGGGGCTCATGCTCTGGGCCAGCACCTCCACGCTCTTGGTCCTGTACAGACACAAGCAGACAATGCAACACATCCAGAAGACCAGTGTCTCCACCAGAGCCTCTCTTGAGTCCAGAGCTACCATAAGCATCCTCCTCCTGATGAGCGCCTTTGTCTTCTTTTACTCTGCATCCTGCATCTTTTGGATTTGCTTGTTTGTGATTTACAATCCTAGCCCTGTGTTTTACCATATGGGAGTGTTTGCTATGGGTTGTTTCCCAGCCCTCAGCCCTTTCCTGCTCATGAGTGGACACTCCACGCCCTGCAGCCTCCTCTTCACCTGCACAAAGAAGAAAGTGGTCCTCCCTTGAGGCTCCCCAAGCTTGCATTTCTGCTGAACTTTGCTTGGCCATTCAACAATCTCCACAACTAATTAAAAGTTATCTGCTGAGAGATAGAGGTGTGCACACACGTCCACACCTGCACATTTGTGTGCTATATATCTCTGTGTGTGTTCATCTGTCTCTATTGTGCTGGCCTACAAAACTATAGGAAAGTGAAAATGTTAGGTTTTGAAATAATTCTTATTAGATCATGTCAACTTCCTCCAGAGAATCTGCTCCATTAAGGGGTGGTAGTGTAAAGTTCAAGATAAAGTGGTTAAACTCACGTCACATGTTTTCCTAATTCCATTTTGAGTCTTTGATTTTTTGTTCCCTCTGTCTTTAATAGTTCCCTATGCAATGAAGCAAATCATTCTTAAAGCCCTTTCTGTTCTGGGGAAGAAAGTAGTTGGATAGAAAAGAGCAGCTGGGTGTTGATGGTTGATGGCTGAGTTCTGATTTCCTGAAGAGGCGGATCTAAGGATCACAGTTCAGAGCCAGTCTATGCAGAAAACTCTCTGAGCCTCTCATCTCCAATAAACCACTAAAAAAAAGATGGAAATGGTGCTGTGGCTGAAGTTGTAGAGCGCTAACCTTGAGCAAATCGTCCCAGTGATAGAATGGAGGCCCAGAGTTCAAGCCCCAGTACTGGCACAAAGAAGGAAAGAGAGAATGAGGGACACACACAGACAAACAGACAGAGACAGACAGAGGAGAGAGAGGGAAAGCCAGCACAGCAGGAAGGAAGGAAAGAAGAAAGGAAGCAAGGAAGCAAGGAACGGAGGGAGGGAAGTGAGGAGTCCTGCTGGTGTAGCACTGACCACAAACATCAAGGCTCTTTCCTGACAGTTACTCCTTTAGTCTGTGCTTATTTCTTCCACATAATTTATTTTCACAACTCTTGATTTTCCTTGGCGGTCTATGTTACATAACTCTAGACTCTCTGCTAATTCAACAAGGACATTAAGTGTACTTTTGAAAAGCACATTTTTTTAATGTAAAGTTGTTTTTACAACACGAAGGCTCCTTGAGAAAGTCCCTTGCTTGGCTATTGTGACATTTCCTGCAGTGCTCCTCATGTTCCTTGTTATGGTGTCACTTTACTACAGCCTCTTGGGTGCTGGTGAGGTCTGCTCTGCTGAATGACAGGCAGGGCCCTCCAGTCCAGGGCTCTCCACCTCTACCCTTTTCTTCTTGGGAATGAATTGCAGGGTGACAGCAAGCCATAAGTAGCACTGATGCCCCAGGGACAGTCACCAGCCCTGAGCACAAAAGCTTAGGGATAGGACCCGGGCCTTGATTTCAAGTCCTGGGACCGGCACAGAAAAGAAAATCAAGCAGATGGCAGGCCTGCCTCCACGAGCTATCCAGGGAGTATGACAGGTGTTGAGTGGACTGTGAGCTCTGAGCCATGCCCCGCGCTTCCCCTCCCCCACAGCACTCAGCAACACTCCAAGGGTTTTTCCTCTTTTTTTTTTTGGTCCACCGTGGGTCTTGAATTCTGGGCCCAAGCGCTGTCCCTCAGCTCTTCAGCTCAAGGTTAAGCTCTGCACCCCACGCACCCCTGCAGTCTGCTGGAAGCACATCCTCCTGTCATCACGCTGACATGCAGCCCTGCCTGGACTCATTACTTCTGAAGAGTTCACACATTCAAGATGTCTCTCTCCATCTGTGTCTCCTCCTTTCTTCTTGAGCACCCTCAGTTCTGGGCCACCATCTTGTTTCCTGTCCCCTGTGTCCTTGTCATGCGGTGGCCAGACTCCTGACTCCTGCTAACCCGCTGCACACCTGCTGGTCAGAGCTCACAGCCAGCTCCAGACTTGGCTTCATTCACAGCAGCACCTGGTGACTATGCTCAATATGAAGGAGGGATAAGACACTCTGGCAGGACAAACTCAGAGCCAGGACAGATCATAGGGGGTAGAACCTTGGGCACCATGCTTGCTGCCCAGGGCATAAGGAGCTTCACACAGGATAAGAGGAAGAGGAGGGGGGCCTTCAGCCACGGCAACTCAGGGGAGCAGCAGGTAGGGTTACTGTGCATTTACACACCCGTTGGGGGGGGGACTGCCACTGAAGCACAGCAGGTGAGCTGTCCCGAGGGGACAGGACAAGGGGGGTGTGGCAGGCGGTGGCAGAGGAGCCCAAGACTCACTGGCGGAACTATGCCTACACAGCACTGGACACTCCTGGATAACAGACGGAGAGGAGGCCTCGGGCAGAGGTGCAGGAGGCAAACCAGTTGCCCACCGCCAGCCGTTTCACCAGCAGCAAGAAGTGGACTTCGAGGTCAGAGGGAGAGAGTTTGTGGGAGATGGCCCACAAGGTGTTGGGAGACGACAGTAAAGTTTAAAAGTCATCTTGACCCTGGTGTTCACTTGAAGGCACATACAAGGAGGTGGCTTTCTTGAAAAACACCAGGTGCCTGGGATTGCTTTGCTATGTCTGCAGAGTTTGTTTTACTTTCTACCAGTTGACATTGCCCTATTTTACTGCACTCTGTTTTTACTGAAATTTTCCTTGTTTTTCTGGACTATTGTAACCTTATGTTACCTCTTGACTTCTAATATTATATATTAGGGAAAGTTAAAAATAAATGTTGCAGCATTCTTGAGCTGCAGACCTCCAGACCCCATCCTTTGTCTTATGTCTTTATTTTTCTGCATCCTCCCACCCTAATTCAGGATTCCCTTTGATTGCCGGCAAGCTCCGGCAAGTGTCACCCAATCAGGGACCTGAAAACCTGGGATCAAGGCAGAGGACCCCGCTAAGGTAAGAGGACGTGTCTGGAAAAAGAGAGCGGGTGATAGCATAATCAGGAGTAAGAAATTATAGGGCCAGGTAAGAGCCACACGTTATATGTACAGGCTCTTAAGGGCATTCTTCAAGCTCGAGAAGTGAAAGTTGGACAGAGGCAGTTACAGAGTTTCTTTCGCTTTGCTGTGGAAGTATGCCCCTGGTTCCCGGAGGAAGGAACCATTAGTTTAGAAACTTAGCAAAAAAAAAAAAAGGAAAAACGGATTCAGGGACACTATGATGCAAATGTCCTGTAAGTGAAAACATTGCTGCTTTGTGATTGTTTGGTATCTGTGTAGCCTACAGGTTCTGTATTGGGGTTGGCAAGAGTCTTGGCGGACGCGCTATAAGACAGCCAATTGAGCCAGTGGGAGACGTCGTCTGAATCCCCATCAGAGTAAACTATCCACTAGTGTGGATATTTGGGCCGGTCTGTACTCTAGTACTTTCTGTCTGACAGTCTGCAAGGCACATGCTGTAAATGTGTTTTGTCTCAATGTTTGTATGTATGTATTTTGGAATTCTTGGAATGTTTCTTCTCTCAGATTCATCCTGATGCCAGAGCCCGGAGGAGGCTGGCTAACATCCCCTCAATATCTGTTTCTCTCTAGCTCCTTCTTTGTTACTTACACTTTAAACTGACCCCCCTTTCTACCTTTCACTGCCACCTCCTCCACCCTTTCTGGATCCAGAAGTAGGAGAGTGGTGGGGGGTGAAAAACCTAGAGGATCTAACAATAACTTAAAAGGGCCGGCAGGGAGAACTTGCAGCCAAATGAAACTGCCACTGACCACCTGCAAGTGAGGGATGGGGGGAGGGAACCTGTCAGGCTGAGGGGACAGGCGTTAGGGATTCTTTCTCTTGCCTCAAGATGAATTCTTCTCCACCTTGGAAGGCCCCTGCGTCAACGTTAGTAGGAATCTAAAAGAAAAATCCTCCAGAAGTGAGTAGAGGGGGTTCGAGTCCCCTGGTAAGTGGATTGGAGTCCCACTTGTGAATGGTGGTGAGATGTTGTGCCATTCACTGAGACTTGATTTTGTCTTTGTGACCTCTTGTTTGTCTTGTTTACTTCAGTGTGATTTCTGCTATGTTTTCTGAGGTAAGGATAAACTGGGGCCCATTAGCCCCCAACTCAGCCTTTGGTTGTTGTCTTGTCTAGTTCTGTTTTAGAATTGATACCAGTTTTAAATGTACGTACAACTGATTTTTATTTTTGTGCTATTTAAGATCTGTGTTTGTTTTGTGTTTGTGAATATGTTCAAGAAAAAAATTATCAGCATGCTGTAAAAATTGGGTAAGTTTATGTTTAAAATTCAAAAGGTTATCAGGTTTAGACATTACCAAAAATTTTAAAGAATTTTCACATTGTTTTAAATGACTTTTTAAGGATTCTTTAACATAGAAAATTAAAAATAGGCTTAAAAACTAGTGGGGCCACAGCCTGCCAAACCTATATATTACTTGTATCCTTAACAGTCTGTTTAGAAATTTACAGCCCAGCACGAGGTATGACAGTCCCTTGGAGCCTCTGAGAGACCCTGCTGTTGCTGCTGCTGCTACAGCCTGACAGTCACCTGGGGGAAATGTACATTGTTACCCTGACAACCTCCACCATGGAAAAAGTAGACTAAACTCCTGCCTGATTCCATTTTTTTGATGGCTTCACTTTGTCCATGTTACCATATACGTACTCTAATTTTATTATTGCTACTCCTCTTGCCGGGGAGAACAGCAAACATTGTATTGCCCATTCCCTACACTGCTTTGCCAATGTGGGACTTCCTAAACATATTAAAACTGATAATGGTCCGGGATATGTCAGACAAGCTTTTCAAAGTTTTTGTAAATCTTACCAAATTTTTCACTCTACAAATATTCCCTATATTCCTCAAGAACATTAAATTGTTAAACAAGCCAATGGGTTGTTAAAACAGCCCATTTTTAACTTAAAGTGGGGGAATTATAACCCTTCTCTCCTGTTAATATACTTCTCATGCTTTATTTGTACTAAATTTTTTAAGCTTAGATTGTAATGGCCTTTCTGCAGCACAATGGTTTTGGGAAAAAAGAGAGCAAAGAGCTTTTGCCCAAGTTAAGTGGAGGGATCCTTTAACAGGTGATTGGCACGGGCCCAGATCCGGTTTTAACTTGGGGTTGAGGACATGTTTGTGTTTTTTTTTTCAGGAAGAAAA